TTTTTTTTTTTCTTTCTTTAACTTGGAAAGATGAGAAATTTTTTTTTTTACATTTGGCGAGATCGCGACGTGGCGATAAAGTTTCGCCGATCGATACTCACCGATGCTCTCCGGCGCTGTCATCGCTTGCAATATCCTGAACGATCTGGAGGGAATCGCGCTGCCCATATATTTTTTCGGCTCTGGTACCTGCTGCTCGCTCGGTGGTAGATTCGCCTGCGTTTCTTCTGCAAACGTCGAGTTGATCGTGAACGTTTCTTGCTCGAAACTGACGAAAAGTTTAACCTACCAGTTTACTTACCGAACGTCTTCGAATTCCTGTTCTGCTTCTTGTTTATGGCGGATGGTGGTCGTTGCGCTGTAACATACAATTTTTGAACATGTCTTATTCGTTTCACAAGTGGAATATGTTTTTGCATAATAGTCCACAGTGCGTTAAAATAATTCGAATAATATCTTATTTCAGTTTTGTACTGAATTGCAATGTACTTGTGTTCACAGGGGCGGGAGCGTCGCCAGATTCCGTCATAGTCTGCAGGAAACGGAAAGCGCGAGAGGGTATGGCTCCACCTCGATATCTCGGGTCTTCCTCGTGATGAAGAGAAGATTCGTTGTCGACTATAAACAAAAAAAAAAAAAAAAAAGAAAGAAGAACACATAACAACTCGAAGAAACGAAGAGAGTTGATTACTTAGAACGAGATCTTTACTTTGTTCCTTGAATTTGTTCATCAGAATCCTGTCGTCCTCCGACAACTGGAGTTTACGCATCTGCTCGGTGTCCACGTCGTTCGACGAGTCTGTGTCTGTGATCTTCTGAAGAACTCTGAACGATCGAGATTGAACCGGACCGGAATCCGGCTGCTGCACTTGCACAGGTATAATACGCTGCGTCACCCTAATGACGATTCGAACCTTAATTTACTTTAAATCACGAATATTTCAACGGATATAAATACGCCAATGGTATAAAAATTGCAACGTTCCTCGAAGCGGAACTTACACTTTCACATTCGGATTGTCAACGTTAGGCGGATTGTTCCTGACGATCGGTTGCGAGTACGGGCTGTTCGAAGTAGCTGCTCCAGTAGTTGGCTTCTTGTCGCTTCCCTCGATCATAATCGGTATAATATACGCACCACCCGACGATTGTTGAGGCGCCTGATTCTGAATCTGGTTCTGGGCTTGATTCGGGACCTGATTCTGGATCTGAATCTGATTTTGAGACTGCTGTCCCCATCGCTGTTGGTGGTGTGGACTCGGTTGCTTGAACTGATGGTGACCAGGCTCTGGTTTCACGTCGAACACGGAAGGTCTGTCCTCGATCTGAATACAATCATTGTAAGTATGACGTAGTTTGACAATAGCAAATAACGTAATTGTAATTTTAGTTCGATTTTATTCTTGTGATTTAAATATTTCTCCAGTAAGTTTCTAATTGCAAGTTCAGAATTAAAGACTCCGTTATACAATAAAGAGGCAGCTCCATTTTTCAATAATTTACGAAAATCAACGAGAGAAGCATCTTCTAAAATATCTGAATAAATTCACAGTAATAAATTCTTCTACTGTCAGATGTGAAATCTATACCAGCTCTTTCTTTCAATTCAAATATTGCCTCTTCAAACGCGTTCCTCTATTCCAACAACTACAAACCGACCAGTAACAGCATAAATCTTCGTAGACAACCACCGAACACCGATCACAATCGTCTTCGATCACTCGCAAATGATATAATGCAAATTTAATCCAAGTTTAATCAGCAAGCTCGTGAAGTTACTAACTCCGAACAACACTTGTGTTATCTGATGATGTGATAAACACTTACGCGGATTGGTATCACGCGTTCTTGCGGCTGTGCTGGAGGATTAACCTGTTGTGTCAGAGATGGACTAGAGAACGGACGTTTCTGTTGCTGATTGAACTGTTGGGGCTGCTGCTGTTGCTGATATTGATACAGTTGAGGCTGTTGAATCTGCTGCGGTCTCTGCTGAGTTTGTTGAGGTGGCTGAGACTGCGGCCTCTGCTGAGTTTGTTGCCACTGTGACGGCTGTTGCTGAATCGAGGACGTGTAAATCGGCGGTGACGTTGGACTATCCGGCGAAGACGAGGACGAACTCTGCTGCCGGTTCACGCTGGAACGTTTCGCCCATTCCGGTAACTCTTCCTGCGGTTTGTTCTTGTTTTGCAGCCACGGTGTCGGCGCCTTTGCCAGAGTCACTTGAGTCGGTGTGCTCGGTGCACTCTCAGGCGTGTTCGGTTGAATCGTGATCGTGGGAGTTACTTTGGCCTCCACTTTGGTCACGAGTTTCGGCGATTCCTGTTGCTTCTCTGGTGCTGGAACGGCAAAGTTACGATGTATTTTTTTGGTTGGTAAATAGATCGCGATTTTTTACAGGGAATTTATACGTAATATGCAAAACTATGTAGGTTAGTTGATGAAATACTTAGTATTCAAATTAAATTTTTTTAACTGTGTTCGACAGTTTAATTTTTAATTTTTATCGATGATGATGATGTTGTTAGTGTTGATTAGTGTTACAGAAGATCCATAAGAAGACATTTAAGAATTGTCGTCACGTGCACGAATAATCTGTTGGGGAATATTCATTCGACATGTCTCGAGACATTATCGTACAACTAGAAAAATCACATTCGTTTAAATGATCTACATCTGCACTCTAAATTCTAATGCGGACCAAGTGCTTGTCACTAGAATCATTAATCCTATATCTACGTTCGTCAATTAATTTTCGAGATGACAGACGACCATCGCGATAGTCTGTAAATATCACTGCAAAAAAAAAAAAAAAAAAAAAAAAGAAAAAAAGAAAATGTTCTCCACAAGTTACACATTTGGATTTTTATCGTCAAGCACACTTACTAGTAGATTCAGTCTTGTTGGCAGGCGGTGTAGGCAGCGTCCTGTTGACGGTTGGTTGAACCGGAACGTTGGTCGGGAAGACAGGGATCGCTACTTGGGGTTGAACGAACAAATTCGCCCCGGTGTTTGGCGGCGGCGTCGGCTTCGGTTCAAGCGCCGACTTCGGTGGACCTTCGATCCCCTCGTCGTTCGCGTTTTTCGCCACTCTGCGTGCCATTCGCGGGCTCCGAATCTGGGATAGGTCCAATTTCCCACCCATTCCCGGTGTGTATGTGAACGGTTTCTTATCCTTGGTCAGCATCGCGTTCTGAATGGCCGCTGGCGGCTCATAAGCGTCGTTGCTCGGGATCTGTGGTCTCCTCGTCGTCGGTGCCTACGGTTTCAACGTTTGTCTCAATGTCTTTGCGACTCTCGATTCTTAATTGTACGAGAACAGAAGCCTCGCTTTTTGATAATCAATTTTCTTTTTTTTTTTTTTTTTTTTGTTCAAGAATATGACTGGAATTGATGTGACGATGACATTAGTAGACGTTTTAGTGAAGGTTCATTCCAGGTTAAGATTCTGATAATTAAAACTAGCTAGAATTCTTAGACTTAATTAATATTCTTTACGTCGAAAAAAATTTCTAGGTCTCACTAATATAACGACTGGTGACGTTGTTGCAACGTTATTGTGGTGTTGTATAATTTTCTTCGATCAATGACCATTGAAAAGTGTATTGTAGTAAATTTAAATATATTTGTTTGTATTTATAATTACACGTAGTAAAATTCACGAAATTCTTGATAAAACTTGATAAAACTTATTAATCCTTGATAAAATTTGCCTAGTG